TATGTAAAAAAATATAACGCAATAAAAAGCATGAATGAGCTTTTAATTAAATTAACATTTTCTCCTCTTTTTTTTAAACAATGTTCTCGTTAAGTTATTACAAAAGTGAGATCACATCCGATAAAAACAAAAAATTACGCCGTTAACAAATATATGATGGAGAATGCTCGCATTCTCTAAAGTATAAACGGCACATAAGATTATAACTTTGTGTCAGGCCAATAATTAAAATCCGGTTGCAACCGGCGCCGTCGCGCTGATAGATACGCGAATCAGACAAATTATGATAATAAAATCGTCAACACGAGTCTCGATCTCCTTTCGTTCGGAGAATACCAATTATATATCAGGTGCGACATATTTATATCCGATCATATTATGCTGCAAGCCATACACTCGATGATTGGTCGATCGAATAATTTGTATATTGCGCCACCGGGGAAAACGTTAATGTGATGTGCGCTCGGAGTCGATCGATAATTAATACAAAATGGCGATCCGCGCGGCAAAAACGTATTTATGACGGATAATGAACGGCGTTGGGCGCCGCCAGACATGTATGCAAAGCGAATAACATGTTATGTTCGACTTGCGCGCGATTGTCGTCGAAGATAGAAAGGTGCGTCGATCAACCAATCGCCATCAAAGCGGCACATGAGCGTAACGCATGGACATATTGATTGGTCGATCGGACAATATCGTGTCGCGAAGGCTGTGTCTTTCCGTCGTGCAAAGCGTTATTTAATAAGTTGTTTAATGCTCCGCGTATATACATTTGCAACGTGATCGAGTCGAACCGTGACACCTCTAAGATCGTAGCCTTAGGTCTTTTGATCATTATGAATAGCAATTAACCCATTGAAAAACCCAATCATTGAAAAAAAATTATAGAATTTCTACATAAAATGTATTATATAAATATATAAAAGCAGTTTCTCAATCTAGATTTTAATGATAGACGATTGAAATAGTCTCAAAGGTTATCTTTTTTTTTAAATATGCCAAGATATTAATACTTTTTGAATTATAAATGATTGAGAGAAAATAAGGAAGATTACGCGAGAGATAAATTTAAATATCTTAAATAGATAAAATTTTCTATTGTTCATCATTGATCGTATAATAAATACATAATTTATGCACGTAAACAAATTTATTGCTATAAAATAAGTAGAAAACCGCGCATTTTTCGTCTTGTTTGGTAAAGAGTCCTCAAAGTATACTCGGTAACAACGCGTTGTATGTGTGTGCAATCGTAAAAGGCGCAAGATCTGCAACGATTGTCAGGACTCAGCTTTCTTACGAACGGCACCGCCGTTTCTCTGGCAATATCCTAACGACTTTCCGAGCGACAAGAAGCAGACCACGCCGAGTAAAATCGCGACCGTACGTGCGCGCTCCCCGGGTAGTCCCCGACATTGTCTTAGTTGAAGAAAGAAATTCCGCCGGGGCAAAGTCACGGTGATTAGACGCCGCGAGGTGTGGAGGATCGGGATCGATGGATTCCTGGAAAGAGCGGGCGTAGGTGTAAAAATGTCTCGGTGGGCAATCGTCACGCTCGGTTTACCGCATTCTGTCCGGCCGGACATCCCGCGGCGAAGGGGGTGATGGTACACGCATACGCACGCATACTTTCGTACAAACGCACGAAGCATGGAATCTCTGCGGTTCCATCGGCGTCAGGGACGTGCGACGTAAGAAATAGTAGTGGGCACATTCCAAATATATAAATTATTGAAAATAATCATTTAAATATATAGTTTTCTTTAAATAAAATATTAACTAAATAGTCATTTTTCTTCATTATAATTGAGGCTATCAATTAAAATAATAACTTTAAAAAATTATCAGACATTTTTATTAAAATAGAACTTTAAATTCTTATTTCAAATAGAATTCCTTGTATTAGAGTAACATTCGTAAAATTAATTAAATCTTTCAAACAGAATTAGAATCAATATCCAAAAATAATTTTATTTTACTATTTATATAATTAAGAGAAAAATTAAAAGAGAAAAACATAACTAACATAAATAATTTTATTTCCTATTTCAAATACTATTTTTTGCCCACTTCTTGCGAAACCCTGCCCTATCTAGAAGTTCTTGTTCTCCTGCGGCGTCAGAAACAACGCGCTCGAGAGCGGCAAATTCCGCGCGCAATTATCCTGACATAGTACGACATTTGTTAAGGTCCTGTCGCCCGGTCGGAATCCCGGTCGACGTGGCGGATACAAAGTTCTGTGCAACAAAGCGCGGTTTCGTCGCACTGAGCCATGCCGAGCGACGGTTACGTTCCTAGAGTTCCTCGAAGATCGGCTTTTTGCCTGTTTCTTCTCGACACGAAAAGTCGATGAAGCAATATCTCGCGACATCGACTCGGATAATACGCGGTGATTTTATCAATCAATGCGGTATCGAGTAATATCGAGGCACGTTCAAAACGAAGAATGAAATCGGTATAATTACGCTTCTTCAGAAATAGTTGATGCAAATTGAATTTAGATAAGATATAGTAGCGGAATAAAGTCGACGCTTTATCGCCGTAAATACATAACATGTCACAGATTATCTTTGCGAGGCATCAATTAAATTTAATTACAAAAATGCATCCGTTCTCGCGATCTTTTTAAAACGCGCTTGAAAAAAAAACCGGGGGTGAAGAGAAAGAAAGACAGAGAGAGAGAGAGAGAGAAATCTAAGTGCGTTGCAAATAATAAAATGCCCAAACGAATAGCGTGGTGCGGGTTCCTCACCGACTTGTGAGACCCCGCGCGCTCCGAATGCGACATTGATAAATAATTATTGGAGTATAGACGCGGGCATTTACACAAGCAGGTGCGCATTCGAAAGCAGGCAGCAACTTCGCGACACCTGGTGCTGATTAACGAACGAATCGTCTTCGGCATGAGCGCGCGCGTTAGCGACTTAAACGACCTGAGCTAAATTGCCATGTTATTCTTGTATAAACCACGGAATCCCCACGGCTGTCCAATTACCGGACGAGGTGGCAAGTCGTCTCGCGTCCGGGATACACGCGTTCCGCGCGCGAGCCGCGACTTTTTTATTCCGTTTGTTTTTTTCGCTTTCTTTCCTCGTCGCCGACGTTGTCGGCGACGGCACCGTTAAAGTCGGATAATGAGACGACCTCGCACGCGCGAGGTGCACGACTGCAGAGGAAAAGGAAACTCTCTCCTCTGAAATGCGATGTATACGCGGTAGGCATAATTTTGTATACAAAGCTCGTGAACCTACGAGACCTCCGAACCTCCATTAGATTTATGCAGTTACACAATGTTGCACGCCGCGATTCCGAGATACACGGGATTGCGCATCCTTGTGGGAGAGCATTTGCATTCAACGAGCGAGAGACGCTTATGAGGCACGAGTCCTTATCTCACGAGCAAGAAACATTTTGTTGTCGTTAATATTACTTATGTTACATTCACATCGGCGATGATGAACGTCCGCTTAAAGATTATAAACGACATTAATCGAAGTCGTGTGCGGATCTTCGATAGTCGCCGATCAAGTCTCCTTCATTTTTCTATAATCTTAATTATGCATGTCGCGATTATTATAAATATGAAAATGATTAATTAAGGCCATCTCAATATAAGAAGATTTCTCGATTACACGACATTTACTCGAACAGCGATACTTACGTACCACTTTAATCGCATGCAGCGATTAGCAAATTATACGAGGAAAACGTAAAAAAAAACGTAAGAAACGTAAAAAAAAAATATCACGTCATTCCACTCTCTTCCTTCCTTTAATGAAAAAAAAATATAAATAAGCAATGAAAAGCAGAAACGAGGATATTCAATAAGATCATCGATAATCGCATAATTTAATATGTGTGTCTTCTTATCTCCTATTATTGCCATCATGATATGTTCAAATTTGATTAATTGAATCGTATCAAATTTATCGATTTTATTCGAATTCTTTCAAGATGCGTAATTATTAACGTAATTAAATTGCATATAAGTTAATCAATCTACTAACAATACATTTTCAATATCTCAATTATTAATAATTAATTATTAATGGAAGAAATTTCAAGATGGAAAAAGCTAAAAATGAAAAATGTGTTTTGTAATCTGATTTTCTCACGTTAATTCTCTCTCTCTCTCTCTCTCTCTCTCTCTCTCTCTCTCTCTCTCTCTCTCTCTCTTTTCTCTCTAAGTCGTTTCTTTCTCTCTCTCTCTCTCTCTCTCTCTCTCTCTCTCTCTCTCTCTCTCTCTCTCTCTCTCTCTCTCTCTCTCTCTCTCTCTCTCTCTCTCTCTCTCTCTCTCTCTCTCTCTCTCTCTCTCTCTCTCTCTCTCTCTCTCTCTCTCTCTCTCTCTCTCTCTCTCTCTCTCTCTCTCTCTCTCTCTCTCTCTCTCTCTCTCAATTCTTTCCAAGTGTCGAATTTATCCTACGAGCTAATTCTGTAACATCGTTTATAATTCGAGTATTTTTTGATTTCATCGCCCGGTATCATGAAGATCTTCATTTTTCAAACAATCCGAGTCTAAATCTCGAGGCTTTTTCTTAGCAACGCGAATCCAACAAAACAACGTATCAAATAACAACAGCTCAGTTATCTCCGGACACGCCATTGACGAGCAACACATTCCATCCTCTCTTTACAAAATCATATTTGGCACATCGTTACGACCGATTTTTATCGGTTAATTAAATCTTCTTAGTGATTGTTTAAGCGTGCCATTTTGAATGTGCTATTTCCAAGTTATTTTAGCGTCGTCGCACATTTCGGGAAGTCGCAAAGAGGAACCACCGCGAGAGATTAATCGAAATCAAGATCATCGCAGATTCACGAAATTGATGTCGGCGACGATTTTCTCCTGATCCCTTCGTGCTCTTCGTATCTGATCTCTCAAAGTCTTGGCAATCGAGGACTGCTCATGAGACTACACACAGACATTACCATCCTGAAATATTTTTCGAGGAGCGAGAAGAGAGAGAGAGAGAAGAGAGACAAGAGGGGCTAAAATATGACGAAGCCGAAGATGTCGGCCCTTGTGGCCTCCGCCATTCGAAATTTGCGAGATATCCGCGGCTCCACGTCCAAGGAAATCATGAATTACATCAAGTCGCAATACGCTAACTTGTCGGATTCCAGTGTACAGAAACAGGTATCTAATCTTAATTTATCGAATATATATTTCAGATAAACTCAATTCTCTTTTTTTTACAAAATTATATATATATTATCTTTTTTATGAAATTTCTCCTATTAATATTAATTTCCTGTTTATTATGAAATTACCCAATTAATTGATATATTATTTTTTAATATTAATCAAAATTCAACTTTTTTAAATATTCTAAATTTAAAAAAGTACGTTTTTGCCGGAAAATTTTTTAATTCTGTGATATATCTCGCTATAAAAATCCGATAGTTCATAAAATTCACAAAGAATCTATAACATATATATATACTGTTTGAAAATGAAAAAGTTTCATTAAAAATTGCAAGTTAATGGACGCAATAAAGTTACATAAAAAATGCTTTTTCACAGATATACACTGCTTTGAAACGTGGCTTGGATTATGGTATCCTAAAGAGGGACCGCGGTTATTATAGCCTGAATATTGATCCTGACATGTTGTACAAAGCATCCACCGTAGCACCCTTGGAACAAGGCAGGAGAGGAAGGAGACGAAGAAGGCGAGGACGTGGCCGTAGAAGAGTATCGCGGCGAAGGCGAGGCCGTCGCGCAAGAAGGGGAGTCGGAAGGGGTAGAAGGGGGAGAGGAAGGAGGGGGAGGGGGAGGAGAAGCAGAAGAAGAAGAAGCAGAGGAAGGAAGAGAGAAACTCCTCCATCTAGAACGAGATCCCTCGCGACCAGGTGCAACAAGTGCTCGTCCAGAAAACGCACGGAGGATACCTTGAGGAAGACTCCGATGGAGAGCCTTAGGAAGGATATGACTTACTCGTACAAGACGGGCACTGACAACAAAACGCCGTCCAGACAACAGAGCCGTAGCCGGGATCGAAGTCAGACTCGCAGCCAATCGAGCAGCAGCGACAAGGAGATGATCGACGATCGAAATCACGATCAACCGTGATCTATGTGCGAAAAGATACTCCGAATGTCGATCCTTTGCAGTCGCGCGTATACATCGTCCTTGCAAAATATCATATATGATATGATATCGAAATTTTATACAAAATTGAAAAAAATTTATTAAGTATAAAACAAGAACTGCATGTGTTATTAAACTTTATGAAAAATTCAATTTCGGGATCGAAAGCAAACTTAGAATCTTTCGATCGGGACTGCAAAGGATCGATTGTTCGACGCGGTGGTTACCGATCAGTGACGCGGGGATAACTCTTTTTTTTTTTTATGAATCTATACATTTTGTCTTATATTGACGATAAATTGCAGTGGCGGTCCGAAATGTACGTCGACAGCGCAAGCCTTGTTTTGTAGTCTTTAACTTCTTGCAAATTTTGTATCTTCTCTTTACACTGCCAATTATATACTATTATATCTCGTCGATAATTTTTATTATTTCTATTTTAATTAATCTAATCATTTTCTTTCTATTCGTTCGTTTTTAATAATTTAACTGATTATTTCTGAATGACGTCGGATGATGATGCAGAACCAGTGTTTCTTTCTGTCAATGTTTTTCGAGAAGCATAATTTCGCTCGAATCCTCTGTGTATTCTTGGCACGATTTTCAGAGATGCAAACTGTTCAAGATAATTTGAATAAAATCAACTGCTACAATTCTTGCTGTGATAGGGTCAAGAAGTAGGATCGAGAAGTGATTAGTGTGTTTACCGGTTTCCGGCGAGGAAACGAAAGAGAGAAGAGGATTTTGCTGATTCCCGATACCGTTTAAACATCTCGCGACAATGCCGTGATCCTAACTGCTCTCTATTCTCCGACAGGACTCTCTCCCGGAGGTCGACGCGACGCTACTACCGGGGATCTATCAAGCAATATTAATGCGGTTCTAACGGTGACTCTTTTTATCCTAAGATCCTCTTTATAATCGAAGAACCGTTCGCTGTTCTTTCGTTCAAGAACGAAACTCTCTCTCTCCTTGGTGGTCCATTTATGAATCTATACATTTTGTCTTATATTGACGATAAATTGCAGTGGCGGTCCGAAATGTACGTCGACAGCGCAAGCCTTGTTTTGTAGTCTTTAACTTCTTGCAAATTTTGTATCTTCTCTTTACACTGCCAATTATATACTATTATATCTCGTCGATAATTTTTATTATTTCTATTTTAATCAATCCAATCATTTTCTTTCTATTCGTTCGTTTTTAATAATTTAACTGATTATTTCTGAATGACGTCGGATGATGATGCAGAACCAGTGTTTCTTTCTGTCAATGTTTTTCGAGAAGCATAATTTCGCTCGAATCCTCTGTGTATTCTTGGCACGATTTTCAGAGATGCAAACTGTTCAAGATAATTTGAATAAAATCAACTGCTACAATTCTTGCTGTGATAGGGTCAAGAAGTAGGATCGAGAAGTGATTAGTGTGTTTACCGGTTTCCGGCGAGGAAACGAAAGAGAGAAGAGGATTTTGCTGATTCCCGATACCGTTTAAACATCTCGCGACAATGCCGTGATCCTAACTGCTCTCTATTCTCCGACAGGACTCTCTCCCGGAGGTCGACGCGACGCTACTACCGGGGATCTATCAAGCAATATTAATGCGGTTCTAACGGTGACTCTTTTTATCCTAAGATCCTCTTTATAATCGAAGAACCGTTCGCTGTTCTTTCGTTCAAGAACGAAACTCTCTCTCTCCTTGGTGGTCCATCTGGATTTTAATTTCGATGTAAAAAAAGCGTATCGAGAAATCTAAAGATACTATCTCGACTCGTATCGATTTGTTCTCGTCTGGCGATCGTAAGCTTCCGGCAAGATTTGAAAGCAATAAGACACTGAATAATATTTCCTGTTACTCTAATTGACAGAATATTATAACTTATCTTTTTTAATGTAATTTTTTAAATTTATATAAAAGAAGAACTTTTCTTGGAAATGTTATATCTCATGATAGATATCTCATGATAGGATATGAATTTACTTTCACATATTTTTAAAGGAAATTTTTTTTTTTGTACGCTATCAAACAGTGACTTTTACACAATCGTGGTTTATAAAAATCTTTTTGTATATGTGTAATAATTATAGATTACATTAAAATTATGAAATGCGTGACAAAAATTGATTGATAGATTATGATATCGAGAAATTAAAACAGCAGTATACATAAAATAATGCATATCAGTGTATTTCTGGTAATCCTTTAATTTCGCTCTGTAAAAGAAACGAAAGTTACTCGCGGTCGTTGGCAGGCATAACCATTGTCCCGAATGGCCGTTTCAGGTCGCTCATCGTTGCACGGATCTACTTAAATGACGTGAGAGACGGACAGGAAGAGGTCCGGACAGAAAACCTCGCACGATTGCGATACTATCTTCTCTCACCGCGCGCGATTGCTCGTACGTGAAACTGTGCGCGGATACTGAGGTGTCAGTGGGTTCTCACTGGCCGAGATAGCGTCACTCCGGCATTATATACGTAGTATCATTAAGGTAGATTTATGTTACCACCGACCGGCGGCAGAGTGTCGACTCTCCGGGGCCAGATTAGGAGGTTGACCGGAGGCTTACACACCCGCGGATATATACCTCCGACTTAACTTACAAAGTAAGTTACATCAAGGTGTGCAAGAAGCGTGTACACGCAACGCCGTGTTCTACGAACACGATTAGCAAACGCTCGATTAGCAAAAATAAAGGTAAAATCCAAACAATTTTATTACGGAAAACGGAAATAATATAGGCTTTTTGTGTATCGCGGATAGATTTCCTCACTTCGTATTTTTGTCATGTTATTCTTATTTTTTTTAAATGAGTAAGAACTGACAATATTTATTTCAAATTTATGAAGATTGCTTTAATGTTTGCTTTTTCAATAAGATTTTTATAAATACAATTCAGTTTTTTATTACTAAATTTTCCTGAAAAAAAATCATGTTTGTTTCATTGAAATTTATATTTATAAATATTATAAAATTTGTAGAAATATTATAAAACTACATTCTTATGCTGAGTTTGTTCTTAACCTGAATTTTTTAAAATTTATCCTAATTTTTTAAATTTATATATATAACATAATATATATTTAAACATTGCATATATAAAAATAGCGAAACGAAGAAAAGGCCGAAGAGGAGGACAAGATCATCGCGCTCTAGTTCGTGCAAACGCACGTAACTCGGTCTACATTCCAGAAGTTTAATTGCCCCGCCACCTTCGCGGTTAATTATACCTAGACTATGTGAGAGAAATTTTAATTCATGCGATCCGCGCGGTGATAACTAATCGTAAACTACCGGGTACTCGAATTAGGCTGCGCCAACGATACGGAAACAGCAGGTGGCAATTCTACAGCATCCGATTCTACATCGAAGCGTTATTAACGACCGATACGCAATACGGTTCGTGTACTCAACAAGCGGCCAAGTATGCTGCATCATCTACTAGCACTCTCCTAATCGGCTGTCTTACATTATGCGTGACGGTACTTCCTTTATGTGATAGACGTCCACACATCTAATCAATTTCGACCTCGATACCCGTTTCATTTTTTTAATTCACAAGGATACACTTGAAGATTCTTTTAAATTATTTTTTTTGACCGATTATGTGAGATAAAAAGTTTCAATATTGTAAACGCAAAAGAATGTACTTTATATTAATTATTGTGTCTTCGTTAACACGAACAAATTTATATATCGTCAAATTCGTTTCGACAGCAATTTAAAAATTATTAAGGAAAAATTAATGTTAAGATATCAAGATTGCTTTTATTTTTTCTAGTATAAAATATTATATAAGAATTTAAAAAAGCGTAAATATGTTATCAATTTTTAAAGATAATTTTCTCGCAAAAAGCTTTGTATAAAAAAGTTTTATTTTATATTCTCGACTTATTTTTGCACGAAGAATTCAATTTTGATTACATTATGGTTTCTGATCCATTCCGTATAGGAATTAATTTCGCGTGTTGAGTGTCTATATTATCGAATTCATCAAAAATAACAGATCTTCTCCCCAAATAACAAAAAAGCGTCAAAAGTAATAAGCCTATTATTGTAATAGGGATAGCAGCGACAATGGGATTGATTAACGACGTAACCGTGAATTACGCTGGTGCTACCCGTTCCTCCCTGACGAGAGATTTAGCGCTTGTTCTGCCGGACTTCTTTTCGCCGACATTTCGCCTTGCTCGACCGGCGTTCATTACCGCGGCTATTCTCTATAGTCGCTTAACTGTTTTGTGCCGACTGATGGATAGCGCGTTCGCACGTTATTACCGGACACTAGGCCAGTTTTATAGGCCTAGATTGGTACACGGTTCTCTTAGTCCTGGTCTGGGCCCGATCAACGGCAGCGCTAATAACATGTTTATCGATAATAGTCCTCGGCAGTTGCGAGGAGGAAAATATCAGGCGCGTAAGTTCGCGTAATTTATACGAGCGTTTTTTTTTTTATCGAGCGTTTTTTTATCGAGCCCGCGAACCCAGCCGGAAGTCGTAGGTGCGACGAACAAACCTGTCTGGCTTTTCGATCATTGGACCGGAAAATCTGAGCGTGAGAGAAATGATCGCGGAAATAAACGCGACAGCTCTTATTTCGGTTTGACAATTGTGGATTGACTGGTCGTCGTTAACATGCGAAAATAAAGTTATTACTTTTGCTTTTACATCCATAATTATTCATTGTGAAATTCGTTCCTCGTGCATCATGTCATATCTGTGATGGAAAAATCGTGCCTGCAAAGCGGCATTTTTTGCGTTAGAAAGGTGTCGCGAGCGTTTCCAATGACCGAATGACTTCGAGTGGAAACGCGGATCTGAACACAACGGTGTCGTTGCTGCGGGCTAGAAAGCAGTAGTATTACTTCTCCACCAAGCTACATTTGCGTAATCTAAAGTATTCTTTTTTCCTCCCTGATTGTAATCTCTTGAAATCAATTATTTGTAACATTAAAGATCGCGGTCGTAGCACAATTTTTTGTTTT